CGCTTGGTAGATGGTGATGTGTAATTCCCAGCAGGTTTATCCATATATACCATCATTTTCAAACCATCTCAAAATCAATTAGTATTTTAGTCGTATTAATTTGTCTCCTTGGATTCCGTCTAGAACAAGTAATGAATTTCCGAAACATCGACACCTTTCTGCAAATTTGGTGCAAAAAAGATCGGATAAACCCAGTCAACCTCTACTTCTCACTTTCTTATAAAGTTAAAAAGGCAAATATATCCAAATTTATTCATCTAATCTTATTCACCCCAAGGAAAAATCCAACCAAATAAATTTTTTTTCTTGGGGAAGACGCGTTTTGAAATAGGAGGAGTGTTTTGGTCGGTCCAACTGTAAGAAAATTTAGGACCGCCGACCAGACATAAAGTAATCATGGATTATCCAGGAAAAAGGTTGGCGTGTGTTAGCCACCAACTATCAACCGTAAGTCTGCAACTGTAACCGATAAATTAACTAATGTAACGGTCCTTTGACTATATATGAAAGAGAAAGATTTTTCAATTCCTTTGCACTAGAAAAGTTGTCTCGAAAGATTTGATTTGATTAAAGAATCTCTTGTTTTGATAAACGATTTGATTAAAGAACCTATTTGTTCGTGATGTTGTAGTTCGTTGATGTTGTAAATGCATACATCGATGCATGGTATGTCTATGTTCTCAGTTCATGGTCATTATTCATGCAATATACACGCATCTCTCATCCATATGATTTAAAGTTATCAAAAGGTTCTTTTCATATTAGGTTTTTCTATTTAAATTTAAAGGAAATTTAATTAAAAACAATGTTATGTTAAAATTTATGGGAAGGACAAAAAGGTACTTAAGGAGTAGTAATTTCGATAATAGAAATGTTGTGATTAAATATCATGTAAGATTATAATTTTACAATTATAACATAATAATAAATGAATTTGATATGATATTAAATAAATAGGTATTTATAATATTATAAATGAATCTATAAATTAAAAAAAAAAAACCAACTAAATAATTATATATTATATAGTATTATAATTATAATATTTTCACTAAACTAGGGGAAGAAAGGGAGGAGAGCCCTCAAACCAAGTTAGTGGATTTTTGACAGAATTCATTTTTCAATTTGTTCAAGAACACTTTTTCTTTTCTTTTTTTTTTTTTTGGAGGCCTCATTGATGAATATTGTTGAGTTGGACTGGTAGAAATAATGCCCAGAACTTTTTGGATAAGTCCTGTCATTTTTAAGCCCAATTTTGTTTTGAAGGCTTATAAGGACCTAATGGTTGGTTTGGCCCATATATACACTGCTACTTTGTACTTACCCAGCAAAAATAGACGAGCCATTTTAAGGTACCGAAACAAGGTGTAATGGGCTCTAAAATGATAGCCCATATTTTCAATAATTTTTGGGTATTTTAGGAATGGAAAACCCGACGCAACAAATTCTAGAAACACTGGAGCAAACCATGCATTCACAATTAGAGTATGTTTCCCTTGAGAAAAATGAATGAATGGGAGGTGAAGGATGATTTGGTTAGTATATCAAATTATAACGTTAAAAGATAATATAATTTAATTAATTAAAAAAAAATTTATTTATATTTCTTTCAATCGAAACATATCTTTACAGGACTGTTCTTGATTTGTTTAGACAAGTTGTGAAAGTTATCCTCCGCATTCCTTTCATGGACAAAACATAGTGAAATGACTCTAGACGAGTAATCTATCTCTGTTCTTTGTAAGTTTTATTATTTTTTCTCGACCAGCAGTAATCTCTGTTCTTTGTGCCCATTTGATGAAATTCCGATTGCTTCCATCCATGTCGTAGTGTGAGTTTTTGTTCTTCAATTCCTTTGTTCATCATATTATTAAGATGAAGGCGCTGCCAATGACATGCTAATTAACGCCATTTAATTAAATTGATTTTTTTTATTTTTTATATCAATTTTTTTTACACAAAGATAATTTAAGAGTAAAGAAAAGAGATTGAATTTAGTTCATTAAGTTAAGAAACATTCTTTTAAACTAATTGTTAGGTTCTCTTTGTATTTTGATGATGATTTCAAATCATGATTCAAAAGAGTTTAATCTATTTTTATACTAAGTGTACAGGAAAATTAATTCAAGGTTTCTAATATTTCCTCACGATTAGAATTAATTCATGTTCTCCTTGTTCAAAGTTTTGGGTTCGAACTAATTTAATTTGGTTCGAATCAATCTCGAACTTTTGTTTTCCGAAAATGATTCGAACCAATATTTCTGGCTTTGAAGCAAAAATTCTAAAAAGTTAAATTTTGACAACTCAACTATCTGTTTATTCTTAATGGGTCATAGGGTATCTAAATGTCTTAACACTTTCCAAGACAAGTCAGAACAATAAGGTGGAACCTAAATGGGGTAATTGTGAGGTGGCTTTGAAAGGCTACAAGGGCTTTAATTGCAAGGCTCCCAACCAACTATTAAATGGACATAAAAAATCAGATCTGCAGGAAAGAAGAAGGACGAACTGCTCCAGCAATACAAAAAAACAGAGTTTGTTTTTGAAAGTGTTCTGGATCTCCTTCTTCTTTTCTTCTTGTGAGCTTTTGGGTTAATTGTCTTACAGGGGTTTTGTATTCTTCTTGGATTGGGATAATCCTTAAAGGGGTTGAGTGAGTTCAAATTCACTTGTGAGGGTTTAATTTTGCACCCGCAAGCAAAAGGTTGTTCCGGTTTAATCTTGCACCCGTAAGCAAGAGATTTCTAGTGGATTGAACTCTCAAGCAAGGAGGTTTGGGGAGTGGACGTACTCCGGGTTGGATGAACCACTATAAATCATGGCTTGATATTCTCTTCCCTTTCTTTTTAATTTTTTGCATTTTATTTGCAAGATTACAGTTGATTTCTATTTTATTTTACATAACTGATTATACATATATATTGAAAACTTAATTCACATTTTTATAAAGGAAAAGAAATGAGTTTTATATCTTAGGAATTGAGGGGTAGCTAGCTGGATTACACTAATATACTTAAACAGCGAGATGAATTTCTTATATATTTCATGCACATGGAAATAGGAACTTTATATTACTAGAATGGAAATAATTCGGCTGCCGAAAAAAAAAATTATCCATCTCTCAAGGTCAATTTTCACACAAACAGATGACCAAACTATTGTTAAAATCTTAATAACATGAATCCATATATATTTGGATAGATAATACAATGCAAGACCCTATAAAAAAACACATAAAAAATGAAAAAAAAAATATAATGAAAAAACAAAGAATGCTTCGAGCCTTAATTTACAAATGTATTTCTAATTACTCATCAGAACCCGTTAATACCTTCACCATGATCTGCATCACTCTAACTCTCATCTGCAAAGATAGAATATAATCGGCCGTCTCTCTGAACAGCCCATCCAACCCCATGCCTTCACTGTTCGGAATCAAACTTTTCAGGGTTCTGACCCTTCCCTCGATGGCGCGCTCCGGCCTTCTAGAACCTTCTAGACATGTCCTCCTCTTCATCAGAACCCTCCTGGTCCTCCTGCTCCTGACTATGTTCCTCGTCATTCTCAATCTTCTAGCTCTTGACATCTCCTCATTCCCTAGGACCATACCCTTCGTATGGAGAGACACAAGAAGAGGATGTGGAGAAATTCCCATGACTTAAAGGAAAATTTTCAACGAAGAAAACACTTCAAACTCTCCTTAAGGGGGGGGAGAAAGAAGGGGTTTTTATATGGTATTAAGGGCATAGTTTGGTAGCCGATAAGGATAATTCTAATTATTTTAAGGGTAACCAAGGGCCTCCAAGGAAATGGGGATGAATGAATCAAAGAGAGCCAAGTGTCCTTAAGCGTGTTGCATCAATTGCTTTGAGCATGTTCTCCACCTCAATTCACATGCACCCACATGATTCAACTCCACCGCCACCTTTCATTACACCCTCTATCTCATCAAAACACCCTGGATTATTCCCCACCTCTAGCTACTTTCCAAAATTCAATGCATATAGAGCTAAATCTCATCAATTAATTTGGGGTCTTCGTCCCTTTCCATTCCAGCTCAATCAACATTGGCATTTCCACTTTTATAAAACTTCATCAGCCGTCTTCTAGATTGTTAGCCATGTTCCCCAGAAAGGAAACCTATGTCCAATAAACTAAGTAGAAATATTTTCAGTTTCATTTGAGATTCGTACAATGTCAGCAAAATGGGCATTCGAGATCCATATCCTAATTAATGTTGGAATTATTATCCACATATTTCTTCTGACATACATGAATCGATCATAGTTTTCCTTCTTGAGAAACCACACAAACAAGATCATGTTCTGACATGTCGTGAACATCATCAAAAGTACACAATTAGCTAGTTTCATAGACAAAAGATGCACGCATCTTTCCCTGCCGCCGGCCCGAACCGATCCAAAGAGTTCAAATCCTGCATTTTAAGGTTTCGAATCTCTCTTTTTTTGTCCCTTTATCTTGTTTTCTGGTCGGAAAATACATACAGATAATAGCGTGGTATTGGAGATGAAATCGTGGCTGAAGGTAGGCAAATATTGCTTTCTGTATCTTATAATTAAGTTTCCAGCAAGATTGTTAGGTAATGCAATTAATATATAGCTCGAGTCATCTTCTTCTCTTCTTCGTATTATATGAATAACTAGTGGAGGTTCCATGTATGAGTTGCTGCTCTGTATTGATTGATAAGTTTTGGTTTGGACATAAAACAAACAAAAAGTAGGAGAGCTGTGGCACATGGATGAAGCACTTGCCACATATATTTTGAATGTTTATCCCCTAAACTTTGGTAGAGCAAAAATAAATATTATTGAAATGAATCAAATATGTGTCATGTTTCAACTTGCAAGACATTATTATTAATTATGTTAATTTCTAATGCAACTTATGTTTATTTGCTCTTCTTTTTGTTTTGAGAGGTATCTAAATTAGCTATTCAATTAAATTGAGTTGTAACTACAGTTGATATTCAATGAGTGATAATTGTTGATGTTTATAATTTAAAATACCTAATATTAATATTCAATAAGTAATAATTGTTGATGTTTATAATTTAAAATACATAATATGTTAAATTAAAATTAACAACTTAATTATACCTTTTTCCAAAATGTTAAAAGAAACACCCCTAGAACTCCACATGAGGTTTTATAACAGCTTTGCGTTGTTTTTGTTACATTTTCTACATAATGGAGAGGGGTTGAGAAACCCCAATTGCTTTCTAGGGTTTAGCATATTTAGCCTATGATGCATAATATAATGAGCCAGCTGGACATATAATTGGACCAATACTACCACAAGCAGAAAATAATCACCGTATATGTATATATGAGACCAACTAGTTGTGGTGGACCTTAATTTGGGCCATAAAAATTGTGTAGGGGTCTTGATCTTCCATTTGGGTGCCATGTTCTCCATGTGCTCCAAAAGCCTATGACTGGTTGCTAATTTAAACCTTCTAAATGGCACCCTAGTTTATGGTTTTCTTTAATTTCTTTATTCACTCTTGCCGGGTACTTTAGGAACAGAGAAGAGGCAGGTGGGTGATGGGTTGTTGCATATGTGATATGTGGCACCACAAAGTGTCATGTGCATAATGACTTAGCCACATGCAAATTACATATGCAGCGTCCCCTATTAGTCTTATTTCATAATTCACCGTCAATTCTATTTGACTTTTCAAATAAGGATGAAAACAATTGAATATAAGGAACTTTTCCACAATTTCGATC